CCCCAAAACCCCAAAACCCCAAAACCCCGAATTTCTCCAAATAATTGCCCAAAGACCTAATTAATCAAGCCTGTTCTCAAAAGAGTCCTACCCAGTCAAAACATTTTATGGAACAAAAATGGTTTAACAACCCTGACTTCTCAGATTTGGTGTTCTACTCCGAAGGAAGTGTCCGCCCAGTCTACGTCAGGAAACAAGTTGTGTGCGCCCTTTGAGAGAACCTGAAGAAGGAAGTAGATCAAATAGAAGGACTTAAGACAAACGGAGTCCTCATGAAAGAACTTCAGGAAGAGATTAAGATGTGACAGAAGGAAGTCTTGGGAAAAGAAAATGGGCAACAAGAGAGAACAGAGCAAACACAAAAGCCGATCTGATTCACTGTGAGCAAGGATAGGGAAGGCAAATGCATTGTGAACGTTTATAACACAACTTATACAGCATTAAGGGATTTTTTTATACTTTGTTTATTATGAGGAAATCAGTGATGACCAGATAGAGCAATGTAAACGATTTGCAAAAGCCTTTAAGTATACCAAGAAAGTAGGAAAGAAGAAACGACAGCCTGCTATACAGGTAACTCCTGAAAATTCCTTAACATGTCTTCTGAAAAGACATTCTAATAAGAATTCTATTATTAAAGCAAGGGAATTCTTAGAAAATTGGACTGAAGAAGTGCTCAATGTTACTTCTCTCAAAAGAGATCGGAAGTTGATGTTCAAAAATTTTGCTAAGTTCTGAAAAGAGCTGGGAGGTCTGGAAACTCTATCCACTTCTGAGAATTACATATTCATAATTCTCCTTAAGTTCATGAGATGGTGAACTAAATATACCAATGCTAATGCTAAAAAGGAACTAGATCCCCTCTTAAAAGTCGAAGGACTATTTAAAAGTACAATCCAGTGGAAATGGATCACAAAGAGTTGTATAGATGAGGTCATAGCGAACAAACTTGGATCTAAAAGAATCCTCGGATTCTTAAGCAGTGAGAAATTTGTAGCGAAATATCCTGAAGTAGGCCATGGTGGCGCAGAAACAACGAATAAGTCGAAATATATTGGAATCAAAGAAGATCTATTCAGCAAAATATATCATTCTTTTGATGACATCAAGATCTACAAAAATTGAGTTAAATGAACGTTTCCTGAAGACAAAGAGCAAGAAAATTTTAGCGTCAAAATAATCTTTAAGAGACCTGTAAGGGTCTGAAAGATCATGATGCATGGTTGGCTGGACTGAAACTTTACTGTAAAGGCATCCCAGAACCTTCAGTGTTACACCACAGTCACTAAATTTTCAAGCTCAGCTAGTTGGAAGGGGTGAACCGATGCAAAATGTTGGAAGATTTGAATCTCTTCTACGAATAATCACATTAGAATTCCTTCTAGTCCATGCTTTGAGCTGCTAACAAAGTCATATTTCTCACAAGAAGAATGTATATCTACACAGAATTTTCCAATAGAGGCGAGAATATGCCAAAGATCCTTATTTGAGGAGTGAAAATTTCCTGAAGTTGCTCCTGAAAATACCATAAAGGTTTTTAAATTAACTGAAAAGGTATTCCGAGCTGATTATGGCCTTTATCAACCATCCCGAGAAAGGAACTTAAAAGAAAGAATTGACATTCTGACTTATTATAACAAGAAATTTAAGGCACTAAAGAAGGAGGTTGAAGGCAAAGAGAAATCTAAGCCTAAAGTAAGGTTTGCAGAAAATGAGCTAGAGAAAGAGCCTAGTATGTTAAAGGAATGTAAATCAGCAATTAGCCAAAAATCGGTGAAGGAGTACCTTGAAAAATATCGAGAAGGGCAAGATGAATTGGAAGAGACTAGCGATAAGCACAGTGATATTGAATTGGGCACTGACTCTGATATTCTCGAAGATTTCTATATGATCACCGCATAGAAAATAAAAAGAAACTGTATAAGGATAGTATAATTTAGGGATAATTATATCTTAGCTGTTACTGCATCTTTGTCATGATAAATCTGGTCCCAATCATCAGCTGTCTTAGTCATTAAAGCTATGACGTAATTTTAAAATAACTACCTTTAGATATAATCTTCTTCATCTTATGGTACTCTTTTGGGTTGTGTTGGTTCTGAATCAAGTACTTCTTGGTTTTACCTGGAACTGGGAGCTCATCTACAAAGACCTTGAAGAACTTAGTCTCGATTGGGCCAACTGCAAGATACGTAGAATTGGCCTCTTCATCATCTTTTGCTTTATAAATATCATAAAAAGGAGTTCCACCATCTAGCATGTTCTGTCCCTGAGGCTCATTCCAGTTCCCATTATTTCTATAAGTGACTGGGAAATAAGTTGAGTAAATAAAGTCATCTAGCAAGGAATGAAGTTTGTACTTTGGCTCAGAATTTCCCATCAAATGCAAGTTCAACTCATTTGCGATTGCAATCCCTAAGATTGAAGTTTGCAGAAGATTAGTAGGAGGATGAGGATAGCCAACCTCTCCCTTAGCAGCATGAGTCTTTCCAGTGAATCCTAGAGTTCCTGACAAAGCATGCAGCATTAACCCACTTGGAGAATATTTGAACTTTGAAGGTCCAAGATTAAAAGGAATAAACTGGAAAACAGATACTCTTGGATTAAGTTTCATGATGTTCATTGAAACTGAATGAATGAGCCTGATTGTGTGGCTATCACTTCTTGGATTTATCTAAGCATCAACAAATGTACTTACCCAGACAATGAAATCATAATCCATTGAATATGCCAAAGAAAATCTGTACTTCAAATCTATTTCAAATGCTTCTATAAAATAAAAGATATGGTTGATTCTTAACCTAATCTTGAATCAAAATTTCTCTAAATCTCCAAATATCTGAGTCCAGAGACACTTCCAAACTTCCCCTAAACCAATCTTACCAGACTGAACGATTTCAATCAACACGCTATCTGCACGAACAGGATTCACAGGCGAGGTATCAATAATGCAGACTCTATATTTCCCCATTTCCAATATCTTTATAACTTAAGGGGTTTTGGGGTTTTGGGGTTTTGGGG